TAGGGAAAAGATTCACAGCATACACAAGAATATAAGGTGAAACACAATCATTTGTAGAAATAAAAAAACCCAGTGCATTGCTAAACCACACATTTTACACTCATTTACATTTACAAACAATAGATTTTATTAGTTAATTCTTAATTTTAAGCATCTGAAGTACCCAATAAGGAAGTTTTAGTATTTAATTGTTGATTCTAAGAAATAAGTATTAAATTTCTTATGTGCGAAACGTCTTTTCGGATCTTTTTTACTATTAGCTGGCGTTAAGTTTGACATAAGACCTGCTTTTTGAGCCATTGTAACCATCATGGCAATTCGCTTTTGTTGTCGCCGACATAAGCCTTTTAGTAAAAGAAGACATTTAACAGATCGAATAAAATTTAAAAATTGTATATCTACCTGTGATGCGCTGGGGTAACATACAACCATCTGATCTTACATATTGCGATAGTATAAGCACATCAGTATGTTTGATTTCTAAGCCCAATGTACATTCCGGACAAAATTTACTCTGACAAACCTCTTTCAATAGTTTCTGAGCGCGCGGCGATGGTAAATTTACACCTTCTACTACCAATGCATTATTTTCAGTTCGTTCGTTTACTAAAACGTAAATATATTAATTAGCAAATTAAAATAAAAAAAGAAATGTTGAAAGGTTATGAAACGAATGAGCACTCACTTTCTTTAACTAAGTACGGTACTGTTGTATTAAAATTTCTACTCGTTATTATGCCTTTAGGAAAAAGACGAACAGTCCTTATAATTACTGACATTACTTTTATTTATATAACTAAAGTTTATGTCAAGAAATTTAAAAAATATTAAACACAAATTCCTCATGCAACAAAAACCGCAACAGCTGATTTCCTATTTTCAATTTATGTGAGAATTCACAATAGATTTACTCAAATCAGAGAATAACTTTATTGCTATGTGACTCCTCACTACTTAACTTATTTATAGCGTTATATTCATATACCAATATGATGATAATTATTAATTATGAAGAGTGGAACTACTGAAATTTATTTTGTAATTACATTGCTTTGAACAAAAATTTAATATACTAAAATCGCAATTATTCTGTAAATCGGTTACATTTTGTTTGCAATAAAGATATAACGTAACTAATGCAAACGATTAATTTATATCTTTAATCATATTAGTATATTTTTATATAAAAATGAATTATACCATTTATACTTTGTACTAATAGTATGTTCCCATTGCCTTCATTAAACCAATTCATTTAATTTAGCTCCCATAAGGGAAATTACCTCATACATGTCGAATGTAATATGGCGTTTACACTGGCAGAAAAAGGCCATTTGAAAGTGTTTACATTCGTTGTATTTAATTTGTTCTCATTTTAAACAGCTGATTTTTCATCTTGTCTGCTGAAAATGAACGTCATTCATACAGAATGTGATGAAATGAATCGCATTCGCGCTTGATATTTTGTATGCAAGAATAAGCCATTCACTTCTCATTTTTAATTTTTACCCAAAATGAGCCATTACCGGTCAGTGTAAATACCGTATAAGACTGCAAAACATTTTTTTCAAATGAGAAATTATCAATTTTTCACATATTTATCACATGAAAATATATATAAATAAACAAAAAACTAGAGGTAAGAATTTTTTAACAATTTTTGTTGTGTTATAAATAATATATATAATTGGTATATAAAAATATATAAATAAGTTAATATATCAAATAAATATTTGATATCATTATACAATATTATATATTACTTAACAAATATGAAAGAAACACATATACAAAATAGTGTTGTCACAATTCGTTTGTGTATATTTCGTTATTCGGTTTCTACTGCTTCTATAAAAATATATACAATAATTAATAAAAAATTTTTATACATATTTTATGTTGCTAAATACGAAATTCTTTATGAAATGAAATAAAATTAGCTTAATTTAAAAATAGTTCACATATTCTATTTCAGTTTGTATTTTAATTTTGATAGAATCATTTCAATTTACAACTCAAGAGTTGGCACAGTATGGCACGGACTCATAATCATGTGCGGCAAAAATAGTCCACGACTATTTTCAAGCATCAGAGGAAAGTTGAATTGGAGTATGTTAGGTGGATATAATAAGTTATACCATTTGTATAATGGTATAATATATATAATTGTCCCATAAATGTCATTGTAGATGCGCATACATGTATAATGTAATTATCTTTTGAACCCGTATATAGTTATTGTGAATTTTTTAAAATTCTCTCCAAGCAGAGCTAAAATATTTTCTTCTTTTTTTCGCTGTTTGTCTTGTTTCAACTAATGTATGCTTCCACTTTCAGAAAAATTCTACACATTTTTATTTGTTTTTGTTTTGACTGTATTTATTACATATTTGGAATCGCTCCAATTTATTATTTTCTTTCAACTGTAAACTCAAATTATATGTTTACTTAAATGTATTTCTAAATTAATCTTCTAGTTTGCTTGTTAATATATCGTACTACTTTTGCAATACAAATTTTAGAAGTATCAAACAAATTTTTTTTCCCTAAACATGGAAATTATTTAATCTGGCGTTTACACTGGCCGAAAATGGCTCATTTGAAAATGAGTTTACATTTGTTGTAATTCATTTGTTCCCATTTGTTTTTTCAACTTGCCTGTTGTTTTAATTTTTTGCATAAAATGTTGCATGAAGGTTAAATATACCTTCAAACCTTGCAATACTGAAACTGAAAACATATTTTTTACTTCAATTAATTAACTTTTGAGAAGCAGAAATTCTAAAAAAAAGTGTATCGTTTTCAAGGAAATGCAACCACCAAGCATTTGTTTACCTTTTTTTGTAAATATGTTAAAAATAGCTTTATCAAACTGTCAAAATACCATAAAAAGCTTTTATTTAGAGTATGTTTAATGCATTCCTTTACATGTGGAACATATTTGGAACACATTCGACCCTCCTTGGAACGCATTCATACAGAATGTGAACCAATGGATATCATTCGTGCTTGAAATTTTGTATGCGAATATGACCCATTTACTTCTCATTTTCGAATTTTGACTGAAATGAGCCATTTGAGGCCAGTGTAAATGCCGCATAATAAACTTATCATATAATAAGGTACAAGACGTACCATTTTATAAAAAATATTCTTTCTAAATACATAATGTTACATATAAAATATATTCGAAACAGCAGATATGTTACATTCTTTCTTTCGTTAAACGCAGAGTCCATTGTTTGAAGAATATTAACATTTTCCGATATAACTTGACTAAAAATGATTTATGTTACGTTTGCACTTTAATAACCGCAGACCTGAGCAGATATTAAAATATTGCTCTAATCTAGTTTTTAGATTGTAAATTAACAACAAAGAAATAAAATTTCCTTTCGGTCAAAATTTTTTTAACGATAGTGTCTTTCTCTGCAAAACTGCAAATAGCTTTAAATAAACTAATTAATTGTTGAATATCTTTCTACGATATATTATCTAATATTCATTGACTTTTTTTTAAACAACAAATAAGTTAAATAAAAGTATATTTCAAATTTGTATAACAGTTATTGTGAATGTTTCAAAATTCTCTACAAAATTAATAACCAAGCAGTACATATTTCGAATTTTGTTTCGCCGTTTGTCCTGTTTCAACTTACGTCTAATTCCGTTTACAGAAGCAATCTACACTTAAATTTCTCTGTAATTTATCATTATCCGTTTTATTTTTGACAAGTTGTGTGCATTTCTTCCAAGCAGGAGGTGAAGAGGTTATATTTTATATTTCGGGTCGTGCTAAATTTTTTTTTGTTTAAACTGTAAGTATTAATATTAATTTTTTCAAATTTATCTATATATTTTTAATTTAATGCATTAATATTATAATAATCTTATGTGTGATGGAAGAATGTGAACTAATTTGTGAAATAGCAAAGTTCAAATAAAATGTGCGTTTGCACGCTTTTACGCATAATTTGTAGATGCCTTTAAACGTAATTAAATGAATATAAGAATTTAAATTAATAAGACTTAGAGGAACAATTTACATTTTGTTAAATATAACAAATTTTGTTGTATAATTAAGTCGCCACATTTTCAACAACGTGACTCATAGTCATATAATTTCTCTTTGTATTGTTCAATAATCAAACAAAGACTACTTTTTTGAAACTTTAAAACTAAAGTTTTATTTATTTAAAAAGGTAACTTATATGTGAATATAAGTCGTAATTGAAAATAAAAGAATTGTGATTTTATTCTATAAAAAAATGGTAGGTTTTCTATATGCGTTTCTGAATTTCAGTATCAAAAGATTACATACCTACAAAACCACTTCAAAGTACAGTTAAATATTTGCCCTCAAAACATTTTTTTTTTCGCATTTGAAACGTTATTGATAACGAAAATTTCAACAAATTTATACATATTAAATTTTATGTGCCGTTAACATAATTTCATCATGATCATAATTTTCATGCACCCTATAAAAATAGTTAGTATTATGAACATTTAATACTTTAAAATTGATATGACACAAGAGGTATAATTGACATAAAATATTCATTGTGAAATATTTTTTTTTATATAAACTGAGAAACTATTTACATATTACACACACATTTTGTTTTGATATTATTATCTCTTAGCGAATTGAGGTCAATGTGTAGTTAAGAAAAGATTTCATTAATCTGTAGTATAATAAAAGTATACTACAGTCACTAGGAATTTTTGTCAATCTTTGTGTTGTAACCATGTCCGTTAGTGGGATCTATAAATTATATAATAGCTGTAGTAGAGAGTAGATATAACTTAAGGTATAGGTGGTATTATTGAATATAGTCCATATTCAAATGAAGAAATCTGGGCACAAATTAATAGGACTGAAATTAGTTTGTTTGGATATGAAAATAAATGAACATCATTAAAAATAAAACTGTAGTTTTGGCACACATTGGAGATAGATAGGCATATTTATGCATAACAAGTAACTATTTAGCATTTCATATAGACTTTAATTGGTTCTAAACTATTTAAACAAATTTAGTTTAATTCCGTTTAGGACACTATTAAATTAAAAGGATCTTGGATTATATAACAGCATAAAATTTATACCAAATAAGTGCCATAAATAGATTAAAATTTTCTTTTCCTTAAAACAAAAAATAAGTGTCCAAAACCATTTTGAGTTGCAGTTGATACAGTCTTATTTCTAAATATTTCAAAAGAATTACCCTATCTTTACAAGACTGATAACTAAGTCTTGTCCTAATTTTTCGATTTTTTTTTTTAAATAGATACACAAATAGCGTAAATAAAATCTACCTTAACTTAAAATTTTACAACTATTGTAACATATTATATGTATTGTAACATATACAATAAATGTTGAAACACATGCCATATACTACATGTTTAATTTTAATTTGCTTATGAAAATGGAATCGTTTATTTGTTTTTATATACATTACCTAGAAATGTTTTTTTCTTAAATTTAAATACAAAGTTAATTTTTAAATATATAATATTATCTGCAAACATACTTGTCACACATACGTTTAAATAAAATAGTAAGGTCGGTTATGACTTATTGTAGCGTGCGCTACATAAAGATCAACTCGTTAAACGAAAATGGCGTCTTCCTCAGATCGGCAGAGATCGTGTACTTATTTTGTCTTGTCACATTTTTTACCACAATATCGTTTCTTACCGTTCGTTTGCCGTCATTTCATAAAAAGAGTTTGGAGAGTAAAGTGCCGTGCGCATATTTTTTTATACAAATTATTTGACTTTAATATATTTATTTATTTTTTTTTTGTCTACAAAAAAAGAATTTAAAACATAGTTTTGCAACTAATTGTGATATTTATATTTAGTTTTTATATTAAAAATATTAAGTGCATATTAAAGTAACTAAAATTAAAACTTTAGCAATTGTGTGCGTGCGTGTCAATTTTGCAACAAAAAAAAAACCGGATATTAAAAGAAAGCAAATTTTTAGGTGAAAAGAGGAAATCTGTAATACATTTGCACTTGAAATTCCAACAGTTTAAGGTTAATTGAGTTATTTTACATTTTACTTAATTTTTTTTATTTATAATTTACAAATCGATTATTGAAAATACAAAGTGAAAAGGTCATAACATATTACTTTTTACGGAAGTCTAAATTAAAACTGCTTTAAACAATTTATCATAATTAAATTATATATTTCCGCAGCGTAAATCTGTAAGTTATATGCAAAATATATGTATAATGTAAAAAAAATTAAGATTTTTCGTCATTGAATTTAAAACACTTTTTACAAAATGGTGAATATTTTGCTTGCCTGGGTTTCGTCGTGTTGACCTGTTTTATGCATATATATATATATGTATATAGTATATAGCTAATATATAAAATTTCTCTTCGGTTTTTTTTTTTTTTTTGTTTTAAATATTTTAAATAGCTTTCACACTTTCTACTGGTAAATCTGAACACATGGCACAAAGTGGAGTCGACTGATATCAGCAATCAATACTTTGAGGTTAAGGTTCGGTCATACGAGTCGAAAAATACCCAGTGATATTTTTCAATAAATAATATAAAACAAAATTATTTATTAATTAGTCTACAGTAATTATTAATAAATAAATAAAAAATTTAATATCTTTTACACAATAGTGTAAAATTTTTAAGAACATATCGGTGGCTCCACACATGGATATGCCAGATCTATATAGAACTGGTGCGCGACATATGTTGAACACACCACAGAACAGAAATCAAAATCAATATCTCTTATTGAAGCAATAAGAGTGAGAACGGTTGATCCCTTTGTCCAAAACATGACAGAAAAATTGTGTGAAATTCCTTTTCAACATTAATTAGATATAATATATTTAGGAAAAGATCATAGCATAATGAGACGTAGACTCATTTTGAATATTTAAAAAAAAAATTAGATCACTAATATATATAGAATAATATATTGTACCAGTTGAAAAGTAATAGATGTTCTATAAATTCGTATATTATGTTAACTATCTAAATCTCGGTTGGGGTATGATTTTCTTCACCCATATTTTAACTGTGAATTTTGTAAAGATCAGCAACAGTGAAATCGAATTGTAGATTGGATTAGATTATATTTATATTTCATAACCTTTATTATTAAGACTTATGGTATCTAGAACTAAGTATGAGTTGTAAAAAACATGAGTGCGTTACTAGACTTCGTGCAGTGTGCGATAGATAGGGAAAAGGTTGCTAAGAGAAATATATGAAGAAGAAAGGGAGTCTTACATAGGCTACAAGACGAATTGTACATATTTGCTGGTACAGTCCCTGTTAAAAGTGATGAGCGACATTTAATCGTATTGAACGACAAGTTAGACCATAAAGTAGACACTTTTTATGGTCACTTTATATTTGTAATTCATTTCATTCCTTCTTGCTATATAAATCCATATAAGCTCCAACAACAAGAATAAGATGAAGACCTGGGTGAGGATAATATGAGTAGGGATATTGTGCGGTATGAGAGAAAAGTATGTGGACGTGGGTGTGGGTGAGTGCTAATTAAGATAACGTCAACAGGGACAGTAATAGCAATATCAAACATCTACATAATTGATGTCTCCTTAATGCAAAATGCGTTTTCTTTTAGCTTTTGAATTCTCTCTATATATCTAAAAGTTCATAAAATTTGTCTTTAATTTAACTAGAATTTCAATTATTTGAAATTTATTCAAATCTTCAGTTTCTGAAGGTAAAAGTTAACTATAAAAAGTTATTTGTGTTAAAAAATCACTTTAAAGGTGTGATATTTCCCATTGCCTTGAAGGTAATTCAACAATTGGGTGAGCTACCCTTCTTAGGTGGTGTTAGACGAGTGGCTTGGGGAAACACTGCAGCAGTTGTCATAATCTAATATTATGTTCGTTGTTATTATTATATCTTTTTTTCTATTAATATAAGTTGATTCAGATTGATAAAATATGAAAAAAAAATTTTTTTCAAACAAAATGATTAATATTTTTCCATATATTTATTATTTAAAATACTTAAGTAAAGATTTTAAGAATTAAAATATATTTACGTATTATTTTTATTATCTTTCAGCAAATTATTGTATGAGTCAGAAAACTGAAAGACCAGTATTATCAGGTCAGCGCATCAAGACCAGAAAAAGAGGTAAATAATACGAATTTATTTCTATTTACATATGGGGATTTTTTTTAACTTAAATTATATATCATATATATCAATAGATGAAAGAGAGAAATATGACCCAACAGGATTCCGTGACGCGGTCATTGCAGGTCTTGAAAAAACTGAAGGTGACTTGGAGCAAATATCCAAATTTCTAGACAGCGCTGGTAATAAACTTGATTATCGTCGTTACGGCGAGGTTTTATTTGATATATTAATAGCTGGTGGTTTACTCGGTAAGTGATAATAATGTAATACAAAAATTGTTGCAAATTTAATTAATTTTTGGTATTTTTTTTTTTTAACCAATAGTCCCTGGCGGTTCAATTTCTCAAGATGGTGAAAAACCACGTACAAACTATTGCATCTTCGAAGCAGAAGAGAATATGGAAGCTATGCGTCAGCATGAGCAGGTAAATGAATAATTGCTGATGAAACATACAAATAAACAGTGGCAATGTTAGGAAGCGTTTTTATCAAAACTTCCACCGCCACTTTTAATAATTAAATCAGCATCTAATTAGAGCCAATTATTAAGTTACAAATTATAATAATAGGTGTCACATGTATGCTAGACTAAACGAAACATTAAACTTGACTTCGTTTTAAGCTAATAATATCGCATATCGAAGATTTCAAATGTTTCAACAAAAATTCTTATTAAAATATATTTTTTTTTTATTTGTTTAATAATATTGATTATTTATAAGACGAGAGTTAAAATAATTTAATTAATTATATGTTTTTCATAGATATTCGTTTATCTCATGCGAAGATATAAGTACCTCGAGAAAATGTTCGAGGAGGAGATGAAGAAAGTGTTGGTCTTTATTAAAGGGTTTTCTCCAAGTGAACGAACAAAACTTGCGCGTATGACTGCGCTTTGGATAGGTAAATATATGATTTGAACTAAAATTTATATACATATAATATGTAAATGTATGTCAACTAATGGGAATTCAGTTTCTACGAGTTTTGATTTGTAGAATCTACGTTTAAAGT